TCAAAAAATTTTTTTGGGGTTTAACATTATTGATTACAGACAAGTTTGTTTTCTGTTGGTAAGTATTTTCCCGAAATGCTTGGAACATTTATTGTATCTTCTAAAGTCCTAGATTTGGACTTATGAACTAGGCCCTTAAGTCCGAGACTTAGAACTAGGTTCTTAAGTCCAGGACTTAGAACAAGGTCCTTAAGTCTGGGACTTAGAGCTATGCTCTTAAGTTCGGGACTTAGAACCAGGTTCTTAAGTCCGGGACTTAGAACCAGGTCTTTAAGTCTGGGACTTAGAACTAGGTTCTTAAGTCTGGGACTTAGGACCAGCTCCTTAAGTTCTATATTTGGACTTAGGACCAGGTCCTTAAGTTTGGGACTTAAGAACCTGGTTTTAAGTCCAAATATAGGACTTAAGAACTTAAAGACAAAGTCATAAATTCCGAACTTAAAGACTTGAAGCATTTTTTAACTTAAGAACTTAGAGACCAGGGTTTGAGTTCTGGACTTTACTATCTCTAATTAGGACCCATAGCAGACCTATGGACCTAGGTTCAAAAATTAGGATCTAGTTTTTAAAAACTAGGTCCCAAGACCAGGTCCTAGAGTCCCGGACCCAAGGACTTTACCATCTCTAAATGCCATTGGGATACTTTAAATAGATCCTGGAATTTTTGTTTAAAAAGATGAGTAAAAGATCGAGTAGCTTGGAAATCACTTTTCCAGTATATGAAGCATGTTTTATTTTGATTATACCAGGATAATACATTTCCTCTAAGAAAATTAGGGACAGTTGCAAGTCATCTATTTTCATCTATATTATTTCTAACATGTGCTCTTATAAAGGCTTCAAGCTATTCGACTAAATCTTCATCACTATTTCCAGAGAAAATAGAAAAGTCTATCATTTTATACTCTTTTTGATTAGTTACTGCTATAGTAGCTTGAGTATTATTATTTGCTATTACTTCATTTAAGCCTTTTAAAATCTTTTGAATAGCTATTTGTGCATCAAATTCAGGGGACTTTGGTCTATCTTCTTCCTCATGCTGTTGTTGTTGTTGTTGTTATCTATCTTGATTTATTGGCTCTCTGCACTCTTCAGCTAGTCTGTCAGAATCATATAGAAGATATAAATTAATTTGTAGCTCCTCTTCTCAATTATTATTATTTGTATTATTATTGTTGACTTCATGAGTAATTTGATTATTATTATTATTATTATGCCTTGATTCTGATCTGGCTTGTTGAGACATATTTGAAGA